AACTATATGTATTTGTTGTTAGCCCAGTCTCACTTTGTGAAATTGTGTCTCAATTTGAATAAGAGATGGGGGGGGATAAATGACAAAATATTTTGGGTCACCCCACGTGACACATTCCAACAACTTAATGTCCACTAAAGTAACCAGTAGAGTCTGCTTGCTGAGCTATAGCTTTGTATCTGGACAAAATACCACCATACACCACACACTGTCCTTTCAATTTACAAAATGTTCCATGAATAAGGAAGTGGCTACTATCATCAATTATTATCATGTTCCCATTTCTCTTCTGGCATTTAGGGCAGAGTGGAAGCTCCTTTGCTTCTCTCTGTTTCTGACAAGTCTTTCAGTGGTCTCCAGTTGGGCCCCAGCTTTTTCAGTTCAACTTCCACAACTCTTCACCATATTGTTTTCAGACCGCCTAATTTTCACTTGCCTTCAGGTGTCCATCTTATTGCTATTCTGATGATGGAATCAGTTTCCATCTGAAGCACATGACCAATCCATGTCTACATCCAAGGTAGTGGCGTCACGTGGTTGTAAATTACAACATTTTTCTTGGGTTAGCCTCTGACACATCACTAATGAACTCTGGTGTTCAGATAATCACAAAATTCCCTTTTTGTGTAGTGCTTTGCCAGAATAAACAATGCAGAACTAATTCTTAAAACTATCAGCCTGACAACTTTGAACACAAAGGATAAAGATTTCATTTTTAGTTCTGCATCCACGTGTATTCAGATGCTTTTGTTTTGTTTTTGCCAACCTCCCTTTTCACCTACACCAAACACAACTTTACAATACTCTACAAGGGAATTAATCTCTTAAATATATTCCAAGCATGTATTTTTTTTAGGAATATCACGTGACAAAAGGACTAAGATATCAGAGTCAGGAAAATCTGCTACTGAACATAACTTGAATATAGGATGCTTTTAATTGAAATATGTCATATACAGGAAAAAAGTAACCTGCTGATGGTGAAGTTTTAAATTATTTACCCCATTAATTAGGATGAATGTTTTGTTCATAAATGATAGCACAAAGTACTTGACATTGTAAAGAGCCTTAACTCCTATCAACAAGGTATTTTCCTTTCTATATAATGTCTATAACAAGAAAAAAAATACATAAGCAATACATAAGGAAAGCCATTAACAAGGAAGCTAATCGTAAGACAGTGATGGTTATCTAAGTTCTATGCATTGCACGTAAATACCCTCTCTCCTCTATTTCCCATCCCTGAGCAATTGTGAAAGGGAAGGAGTGGGCAGTGAGGTTAGGGCCTTGTGCCTATCGCAGTCACTGTGATGCTCTTGCAATAAAACCTAGCAGTATTTAAAAGAAAGCAGTCAAGAGTAAGAATTTTAAAAACTGAAAAACAAAAAGATAATTTGGAGTCCTTCATGTCTTCTTTGTTTGCACCCTTACTTAATGAGGCTGAACTTGCTTGTGATAAAAGTCCCATTGACTTTCCCAGGGCTACTTGTATGACTAGTCAGGTGACCAAAATGTATGTAGAACTGCATCTTTCAATTGTCAGCTTTTGGGATAGGATTATTGAAGCCAATAGATTTACACAGGGGGTTCCCACTGTTTCAACAGAAAGGAACTTGGCCCTGAAAGTTGGGACAGTAAAGTAGACATGTTAGCAGTGGAGTCTTAGGGCCTGATCCTGCCAGGTACTGCATGTCTTCAATTTCTGACAGCCACAGGAGTCAAAGGCATTCAGTATTACACAGAATGTGTTCTGTATCTTGAAAAAACCCATACCTAAATCATTAACACAGGTCTAATTAAATACTTTGAGAATGAAGTTAATTGGCTAAAAATGCAGCTAACTGTTTGGAAGGGTCAGAGAGAGAACATTGATGAAGGAGAATGGCAAGGAACCATCAGGGTAGATGTGAACAGGAAAACAGCCTCCTCATTGACAGCCTGACCTGTGAGGTATCACATACTTCATTCACATTGTGCTCAGTTCACATTATTTTTAATGGGAGCTCAGAGATCTCCATACCTCATGTTATCAGACACTTGTTTAATACTCTAAAAGTGTCTGTCCTGGTGCATGGTGAGACATGTCAGTTTATACTTCAAGCCTGTGTCTCACCTCTAAAAATAGAATCAATATTTTAAAAATTCATACCTATTTTATCAGCACATCAACATGCTTCAGTATGTATAAACTTTAAAAAACAACAAATAGTCTGGTAGCACTTTAAAGACTAACAAAACATGTAGATGGTATCATGACCTTTCATGGGCATAGCCCACTTCTTCAGCTGACCAGAGTGTTGGATGTTCAGGACCAAAATAAATAAGGGGGGGGGAGGGTTGAAGAAGGAAAAAATGGGTAGAGGGGGGAACAAGAAGAGGCAGTGGGTAAAAAATATCAAGGGGAAAGCCAAGCTGGAATGAAACAGGAAAAACAAATAGTTTCTAAGTATCTAAAACAAAAAACAGGACTATGTAGCACTTTAAAGACTAACAAGATGGTTTATTAGGTGATGAGCTTTCATGGGCCAGACCCACTTCCTCAGATCAAATAGTAGAAGAAAATTGTCACAACCATATATTCCAAAGGATACAATTAAAAAAAATGAACACATATGAAAAGGACAAATCAAATTTCAGAACAGAAGGGAGATGGGGGGGAGGTAAATATCTGTGGACTAATGATATTAGAGGTGATAATTGGGGAAACTATCTTTGTAATGGGTAAGATAATTAGCGTCTTTATTCAAACTTAGGTGTAAAGTATCTAAGGCTGGATAGTCAAAAGAGGCAGATAAAAAACATTAATTAGCAAACAACAAATGGTCAGGTAGCACTTTAAGACTGACAAAATATGTTGATGGTATCATGAGATTCTACATAGACAAAGAACCATTGTTGCCTTCATTGTTTGATAGATTGATAATGACTCAGCCATCCAGTATCTTTATTCAATCCATTGGTGTGAGAATTGAATTTGTGAATGAGCGGTAGTTCCAGTCCTTCCCTGTGTATTTGGCTTGTGGAATTGGTTTGTAACAAAGACAACTACTTGAAGATCTGTTAATGAATGCCCAGGGAGATTAAAGTGTTCTCCAACAGGTTTTTGTGTGTTCCCTTTATGGATATCTGATTTGTGTCCATTAATTCTTTCCTGTAGGGACTGTCCAGTTTGTCCAATATATATTGCAATGGGGCATTGCTGGCATTTGAAGGCACAGATTAAATTATTGGATGTGCAGTTGAATGAGCCTCTTATTTGGTGATTTATGTGATTGGCTCCAGTAATGAATTCACTTGTATAGATATGTGGGCAGAATTGGCACCATGGCTGATTGCAGGGCTGGGCTCCGTGGCTGATGTAATTGTGTAGCATGATTTCTGGAAAGAATTTGTTTCAGGTTGGGGGGTTGCTGTAAGCGAGAATAGGTCTTTCCCCCAAGGCCTCTGAGAGTAAGGGATCATTTTCCAAGATAGTTTGTAGATTGCAGATAATGCCGTGGGTGGGGTTTGAGTTGTGGACTCTACGTAATGACAGGTGGAATTCTGTTATTTTCTCTTTTGGGTCTGTCTTGAAGTAGTTCACATCTGGGTACTTTTTTGGCTCTGTCAATCTGTTTTTTCACTTCTCCAGGTGGGTATTTCAGTTTTAGGAATGCTCTATAAAGATCTTGTTTGTCTTTGTCTCTGTCTGTGGGATCAGAGCAAATCTGGTTGTGTCTAGAAGGGGCTGGGAGTAGGACAGAAGGAATGGAACTGGGACAACCAGCCCTCAGCACTGTCTCGAATGCGCTGCACCATGCCCTCCCTGTCAAAGCAGCTCTCTGAGCAGTGCTCTGGCAGCAATTTAGAGGCCAGGGGCTTTGGCCGCTGTTGCCGAAGTAGCTGCAGCAGCCGGGAGCACCAAGCCCTTTAGAATCACCAGACCCAGGGCAATTGCCCTCTTTCCCCATGCCACTGTCAGCACTTTTATAGGTAACCCATACCAAAGATCTATGCTTGTTCTTTAGACCATTATCTGAAACAGCCCACTCTGTAGCCATGCAAGGCCTGTTG